TTAAGATCTCCTCGGATCCCCATGTCTTCTCGGAAGTCGATATATGCTGACTTTAATTTGTCACCCGAAACGTGAACAAAGTAATTTATAAGAATTAATGGATTAAAACATATTAGTCTGTCATCATTTTTTATTACTTTAAGCTGTTATATTTTATTTGATACATGTGCTTTTGTAGACAGCTTTTTTAAACAGTGTGAGTTAGATCGACCGGCCAGTTCACTAAATATGTTTATATATATATATATATATATATATATATATATATATATATAAAGGGTAGAAGTTATTTTTGTTCCAACGTGGGAAAAGTGTATATATTAAAAAGAGAGAAACCGCAAACGTGGATTCTTTTAAAAAAAAATATTGTATGTTTCATCTTCCATAATTTTGCTAAAAATGGAAAATTAAAGCATAATATATCTTTAAAAAATATCCACCTTACAACCAAAAACGTTTGCGGTTTCTCTCTTCTTTTTAATATATATATATATATATATATATATAATCAAAAATTTTGTTTGCCAAGGGATTTCGCCATTTTATATCATTAACTTTACTAATCTACTTTTTGTATGAATGATTCATTGTAATACAAAGTGAACTGCACCACATATTAGTCTCCTTTTTTAAGTTGGTGAATTCTACCATAATCCTTGTCTTCAGTTCATCTTTGGTGTTACAAGAAGTTTTGCTGATCTCTCGCTCAACTGCATTCATATAATATATATAATAATCAAAGGGATTGCCGTCTGGTCAGTTAGGTGGCCAGATTTAAGAGATGATGTGGTGGCAGAAATTGTCTGACAGCTATAATTGGTTCTCCTGCTTGTGTGGCAAGGTGCAATGTTTTGTTGTCAGACATACAGTCTTCCAGCAGCCATCCCAGGGTAGCATTACCTCCTCAAGGTACTTAATGTAGACCTTCGTAGTGAAATTCGGGTGTTCTTTTTTTAGAACAATCAGAGTGCGTTTTCCGACCTGTCGTACCTTGGTGATCACCATTAGACTCATCCAAAAAACCACGCCGCTGTCTAGCCATCATACAACCCGAATTATATGTGGCACAGGTATTCCACACTTATCTGGGTTGATTCTTGTCCGAGGATCAAGGCTGACTAACTCTGAGAGTCCAGATTGCTCAAGCTATGAATGGCTAAACAATTGCTAAAGTACCATTGGTTATTCAGTGGATACAGTGTTGTCTCATTCACGCTGGCCTCTTTTGTGCGCTTCTCGTTTAGTGAGTGGACAGTCATCACACACACACACACACACACATATATATATATATATATATATATATGTATATATGTGTGTGTGTGTGTTTGTGTGGATGTGCATATTGGGTTCAAATCCGAATTGCGATAATCTGTTTGATGCTTGAACACAATCTGCAAGCCATATGTGTTTCCTTGAGTATGCTAGTCAATTGGGCATGATGGGCAACAAAGTATATTGTGTTATCCTAAATGTTATTGGGTACACAGGAACAGTTATCATTAAAATTATTCTCGAGGCTGTTTAATAGAAACAATTATAAATTATTTGTAGCTTATGTGCATTTTGTTGTTTAAGTCTTTACTCATTATTTTTTAGTGATTACTTACCTATGGCGGTTTAATCCATAAATATAGCATACCTTGTAACTATTTTTTTATTCCACACACACACACACACACACACACACACACACACATATATATATATATATATATATATATATATATATATATATATATATATACATATATAAAATATAGATAACTAGACTCGTTTCGAAAAAACCTCGAATTTTTGATTTGCTAATCAAATCAATCTCAAGGAAAAAAAGGTTTTAAAAAAGGTTTTAGAAAAAGAAAGAGCTACAAACATGAACTTCTGCCGACAAAAAAAATCGCACAGATGCAGGTCTGAAGCCCAAAGAAAAAAAACCCCGATACGAGTAACAACTAACTAACAAAAGAGCTCAATACAACCGTAGAGCAGACCTAGATACACCTAGTGAGCCAGACAAACCTACCTAGGTTTCACCTAAACGGATCATCAGGGAAAGATTGGCTCTTTCCCTGACGATCCGTTTAGGTGAAACCTAGGTAGGTTTGTCTGGCTTCACTAGGTGTATATATATATATAATATATATATATATATATATATATATATATATATATATATATATAGTTTTAAACAAACACTGTCCATTTTTTTTATTTTAAACAAGGCGCCTTTCGGCCAACACTTCTTCAGGGACCAACGTTCGGAAAATCATTGTATTAAAATTGGTATGAATGGATAAGTAATATGGAGGAAGATTGGAGTACGTCTATAACATTTAAATTGACGATTATAATATACGTAAATTGAACAACTGTAAATACTTAAACAAATGACACTATACAGTGTTTGTTTAAAACAATCTATGCATTCTGTGGTATTAAATTTATATATATATATATATATATATATATATGAAATGGATAAAGTTCGACAATTATTTTAATGTATCTTCTATTTATACGTTATATTTATAGATACATGTAGAATTGTAGTTTCAAGTCAGTTAAATCGACCTTGCTGACCAGACGCTCCTCTGTAGCTAAATTGGTATAGCACGTCAGGCTATATGACAGGTCTGTGGAGGATACATGTTCGATTCCTGTCGGAGGACACATATTTTCTATGAACATTTCTCGGACATTCAGGCCGGTAAATGTTGTTAATACTGTTTATTATTAACAGAGCATTTACTTAAATATTTGTATCTATAAAAATAACGTATAAACAGAAGGTAACTTAAAATATATATATGTATAGACGTAAAAATTGAAAAGGACTAGAAAATTTCTCGGTCCGACTAAGTGGGGTTAACAAACATTTTGGTCAGATTTGGGGAAATATTTTCTATAGGGTGTACACATAAATCATATACTTAATTTTAGGCAAGTCAAAAATTATTTAACTTTGCTACTTGCCTGAAATAAATTGATGAGTATTTCTAATTTTTCAATTATCTATTTTATTAAAAAGTTCAACGGAAATTTAAATATGAAAAATTTCCTCTATCATTAAACTTTAAAATCCTTCATAGTTGGTGATTGTTATAATCGGTGCTGGAGTTACATATGGGTTCGTATTGGTTGCAGCCCAGCATTCCTGCCCCCAGGATTATAGGTGCCTTCAATGGCCCTCTAATCTTGGTCCACAGATAAAACTAAAAGAAATAAAGATGTAAGAACGGAAGAAATTTGTTTATTTTCAAAGTTAACGTTTGTTTAATGGCATATCAACTCCTTGTGGGCCATTTAATGCTGAAATTTCATTTTCTTGGGAACTTTGATGTAATAAAAATATAAGCTACGTTATTCGGCTTTCACAATAGATTACATGGTAGATATATAGATTAAAGTTCTGAAAGAATTCTTTCATGTTGGTTGGGTGCTTGATTTTATTTAGCAGCAAATCATGGGTTATTTAATGTCGAAATCTAAATAATTTGAACACAAATCGAAGCCTTCAACTACAGATAAAATGTATTCTTAGTAATTTTACTCATAAAATATATTTTTATATCAGGTTATCCTATAAGTTCTGTCCGAATTTTAACTTTTTGTTAAATGAACGAAATTTAAATTCTTAAAGTATTAAGTATTTTATAATGTCTAATAGAGCTGAACATTATTTTTATGTTTAGATGCATTTAAACTGATCAAATTTTATTTCAGAGAACAATAAAATTAAATTTTGTTTGATTAAAACACTGCTAACATGGAAGTACCCATGAATCATTTGAGGCACATAATGCTTTATGAGTTCAAGAAAGGAAACTCAGCAGCCGAAGCGGTTAGAAACATTCACCCAGTTTATTGAGAGGAATGTATGAATGAAAGAACTTGCAGAAGATGGTTTGCAAAATTCAGAGGTAGAGATTTCACCCTTGAAGATGAAGATCGAACCGGACGTCCAGTTGAGTTTGATGAAAAGCTTCTTGAAGCAGCCCTTGAAGAAAATCCTGCTTTATCAGTTGAGGAATTGGCAGTGGTTCTCAGTTCAAACCATACAACTGTTCATCGTCATCTTCAACAACTTGGAAAAGTTCCTAAACTTGCAAAATGGGTGCCTCATGAATTGTCTGAAAATAACCTCAAATCCAGAGTTGACATCTGCTCTTCTCTCCATTCTCGCCAACTTGTTTCACCTTTTTTGGATAGACTTGTGACTGGCGACAAAAAATGGAACTTTTATCGAAATGTTAAGCGTCGTAGACAGTGGCTTGGTAAAGGGAAAGTACCCCAGCCATAACCGAGAAAGGAACTTCATGGGCAAAAGGTTCTTCTTTCAATCTGGTGGGATCGCCAAGGAATAATCCACTTTGAATTCTTACCACCTAATGCAACAATTAATGCTCAAATATACTGTCAGCAATTAGAGCGTTTGAACCAAGCTTTGAGGAAAAAAAACAGAATCATTTGAAAGAAACAGCTTTTGTAACACAGGAAGAGGTTAAAACTGAAATTTGTGAGTTATTCAAATCAAAGCCAAAAGAATTTTACAGTAATGGAATTAGTAAGCTTTTTAATAGATGGAAGGAAGTCATAGATGGGATGACCTGATATATTCATAGTCTTTTGTTTTTGTTTGAGGATTCACTATTTGCTCGGGTCAGAGTGAACCTGACTACCACCCCGGGTCAGAGTGGACCTGACTATCACCTCGGGTCAGAGTGGACCTGACTACCACCCCGGTCAGAGTGGACCTGACTACCACCCCGGGTCAGAGTGGACCTGACTACCACCTCGTGTCAGAGTGGACCTGACTACCACCCCGGGTCAGAGTGGACCTGAAAACAATAGCAATTAAGAGGTGGTTACACATTGCTCAAAACCTCCAAATCTCCCGACAAGGAGCCTTTCCGCCTGATGTAGTTTATCATCATATCCAGGACTAATGCATATTTGACAAATGCTTTTCCGAAGGTGAGGACTTTAAGTAGATTGAATTATTAAAAAGAAGAGAGATTTGAGAAATATAGCTGAAAAAATGTTCGCTTTCTGGCAGGCATATTGTTTTTGTTGCTGAAAATTGAGAAAGTAGTAGTGAAATGATAAATAGAAAGTGATAGACGTAAGTTGATAGAGAGAGAGAGATCTGGAGAGATGAGGAGAAAAATAAATAATTTCAGCCATAGCAAGGCAATAAAACCAACAAGACGCAAGGAGGTTACTGATTGTTAGGGAATATCAGAAACTATTCTACTAAATAGAGAAGACATTGCTGTCGGATGTCATTCAGATTTAATGGGGCTGATTTGAACTCATTTGAAACAATATAGAATATTTAGGCATCCAAATATTCTATATTGGAGCCCATTGAAGTGTACCCGTCTATATTTCTGAGATGAGGTATTATGTACATTATTTACATTATTCGGACTATTGTCCTCGTCGTTGTCGCCAAGGATCAGCAGCGATTCTCCGGCAAATGTCGGGGCAGGGGGTTCCTCAAGGACACATGGCACAGTGGGTAAAGGCGTTGGTTAGATCCAGTCAGAGGACCCAAAGAGTATGAGTTCAATACCTGGCTAAGGCAGTGGAGAACTTTCAGAGGGAAATTAACAGGAGATAACTGATAACTGACACCCATTAAACATGGCACGTGGAAGTCTACCCCAGTGAGCGAAATAAAGGGTTCAGTTCGACATTCCAACCACGCGAAGAAGGCTGGAGCGCACAACGGCCGAAACGTTGTAATAAATATGGCGACAAAGATGAGAACAATAGTCCGAATAATGTAAATAATGAAGTGTATCCATTTAGAGTTTGAAGCAACTTTTTTCATATATAAAATTCTGCAGTTGTTTTTTTTTAGTCTAGCATAATTTTGTCTACATTTTTTCCCAATTTTACACTGCATTGAATATAGACATGTAATAATGTACAAAATGGGATAAAATCCAAGAATCTGTTTTCTTTTTCTATCCAATCTCCCTGATTTATAATTACTAACTTGGCATTTTGACGTTGACAATTTTAACAATAAATATAATTAAAAAAATTCACCTGTGGTGATCTAAGTTCGCTATAGAAAATCAGAAAGTTCCTTCTCTGTTACATTATGTTACTCTACGAAGTTTTGCCAGTGAATTTGAAGCCGAGATTTTCAGGGTAATACAGGCGGCCCTTCATTCTAGATACATTTCTGTAGGATGTAAAGTTCGGATAAAAAAAAGATGAAATAAATAAGTTTCAAAATCATTAAATATTTTAATTAAAGAGCTTCATGTTTTACCCCCCCCACCCCCCAAAAAAAGGACTTGATCTATAAAGACACGAGGCGGAAGTAATCATACGTAATAAAGGATTCCCCAAATTCTATTAGCCCAAGGACCTTTTAAGGCCAAAATCTGGACCTGGTTATAATAGAGTCACGACGGACGGTTCTCCTTTCAATGAGGCTGTATACTTTGAATGTCTCTTGGTTCTCAATTTCACCCCAGACTCCAATTTGACCTCATATATACAATTGAAAAATTCATTCTCCTGCTCGAAGATATAATTGAATCTTTCTGCCATGCGTTATGCTTGAAAAGAGTTAGATGGAATATTTTGCCGGCATATTTTTGCCGAGGCTTCACGAAATACACCAGCCCTTGATAGAGAGTTCAAAACGTTTGCGCAGCCTTGTTGGCGATGAATTATTATCAGCCAGCGTTATTGTAATGTCAAATGCTCAGATGTGTTGCATTCTTTAGTTCCACAGGTTCAAATCTTTACAGTTTGGGGATGTCATGCCACATCCACAGAATCGAAACGCCCTCATATCCTCTCTATTCCTATTGCAAGAAAAAAATTCCATTCAGACAGCTTTTTCCCCAAGACTTACTACTTTGGGTAAGAACTCCCTGCTCCGACCTTTCTCGGAGAATCGCTGCTGCTCCGTCTTTCCTCATAATCTTTATTTCCTACCATTTCCTCATTCCAGATTGCCAAAATCTAAGCAAAGAAACTTAAGAAATCGAAGAATTTCGTTAGAAGCAACGATACGATTAATAAGCTGTTATGTATCATCAGCCCTTCTCTATGAACGTGAATGTTGGACAGCTTCCTAGCAGATGAAGAGAAGACTCGAGGCAAATGAAATGTGCTTCCACAGAAGGATGCCGTGAATACCATGGACTGAGCATGTAAGCAACAAGGAAGTTCTAAGAAGATTTGCGATGCTGACACTAGCCTATAGGAAGTAAAATGGACAGGGGAAGGCGTTGGGCCACCTACCTGATGAGCTTGTGATGAAAAAATACCAGACTTGCGGTGACTGAAATGAGGCTCTACAGAAGGATGCTGCGAATACCATGTACGGAACATGTGAGCAACGAGGAAGGAAGGCAAAGGAAAACAGAGGGTAACTAACATAACGATCTTGTGGAAATGGCTGGCCTCAGGAATTATATGGGAGGATATTTTCGCATCAAAGAGATAATAATGGGATTTCGAGACAGAATTTCTAAAGCTGATTTCCACTTAAAATATGTATTCACCATAATGAGCCCTCATAAAATTTTCCGTTAAAAAACATGACTCTGCAACTTTCCACTATCTAGATCGAAGACATTCTAACCAATGAAGGGTTCGGATGAGACGTTTTCGATAAGGCTTTCTTTCTGAGCCTGTTTTCCACGACGCTGTGTTTGATTCAAGTTAATAAAAACAAAGAATATTCAGGCAAAAAGGAACTCAGAATTATTTTCAACCAATTAGAAGAATGGAATTGGCAACAAATTTATAATTTTGAAATGTCGTTTTATGCTTTTACCGGTTCAAATATAAGAAGAGCCCAGCTATTCATTTACGATACAGATCGGAGTGGATAGTCTGAGACCAAATTATTGACATTAGTGATTTGAAAAGAAGACAATGTACTCTGAAATACCACGTGGCCTGTTAACAATTCCGGGCAATATGCGAAATCTTAATACATACAGTTTTCGACACGTGAAACAAACACACCAATTTTTCCTCGTTAATACAAGACGACTCACCCGCTGTTACCATAATTCTTCATAAGTTATATAAGTTTATCACAGCAGAAGTTTATTCAGCACACCTTCTATTCAATTACGACGCTTCCGCTAATATGTTTACCTCTTAACCCCGAAAGCAACGGAAAATTAACACAACACCCCCTCTTTTTAATTTTAACTACTAATGCAAGTTCCAACTTTCTTTTGTGAGTAGATAGGTTGGACTATTGCCCGGCTCACACTCCTCCCTGGTCTTATGAACAAGACTAGATTTTTATCGTTTGTTTTCTGTACAGGCTTAGGTTTCCGGTTCCTTCTAAAGTTTTCTTATTCTCTCTCACCCCCAGTATCGCCTAGCGTCTCAGTGACATTATCACCTAGTTTGGGGTGAGTTGATTAAAAGAAAATGGGAATTTTTCTCTACTTAGCATAATTTTATTAATCGCCCATAAGAGTGTTATGCAAAATCCTATAGAAGCCATCTTATTTTCATGTAAATTATTTTAAACAAACAAAATCTTTTCGTTTCAGGCTCACACTGAGGAAGAATCCTACGGAGATAAACAATTGTTGTTTTATTGTTTATGTGGGAATATCCATAATCTTCAAGATTTCTATAACCCACATCTCAATTTGGCCTTGTGTCAGACTTGATGAAGTTTGATAAATGTGTATGCATATATGATGCGTTCGTTCTTGTATTTTCATGTGCGTCGGAGGACTGTTGCTACCGATCGATTTAAGATAGACAGTGGGAGAGATATTTTATATGATTGACAGCGGAATATACCTTCCCCCGACCCATTTCTCCTTTCTCTCGTTCTGACAATTCTTGCCACAAAATCTCGTTTTAATCACGCCATTTTCTTTTTGTGACTCGACTAAATCACGCATTAACTGGGGCCGACACTTTTCCCAAGTGGCAGTATTCGGCCAAACGGGAGGGAAAATAATAATAACGAATATCTCGAAGAATGTAGGCTGATCGAAAGAAGAAGACTTTCCGTGAACCATCTTTTGGTTAAGTGGCTTCCTATGGAGAAAAACGCGTCGAATCGAAATGAGGAATTCCTGAGCAATTTTTCGGTTCCGAAGGTATGTAATTCCCCTGACAAGGCTGTGAGTGATGGCGTGGGCGGAGGACAAGGCGCTGGGTAGGGTGTGGAAGGTAGAGGTATGTGGTGCGTCAGTTTGATGGAATGAGGGCGTTGTCACAGTGTGGGTGGCGCCACTGGTTATAAAAGTTAATTTCTCTTTTCTGCGAAAGCACACAGACACATATACACACACGTGCGCGTCTGTGTGTGAACGCGCAGGCGCGCATTCACGTGAGCGCTGATAAGTTCTCGGCGTGACCAAGAAAGGACCCCCGCAAAAAAATTAAAATCTAATGTTTTGTAAGTTGTTCAAATTTTTGCAAGTGGCGTAGGCCGAGAACTTTTCAGCACTCATATATCTCACATACACACACACACACATATACCGGGTGTAACAGCAAAATTGTTCAATTGTTTCATTAAGATCTGAATCGTTGTATCTTAGAAATGATTAAAGATATCTTACTGCAATTCTCCGAGGTTTTTATAACACTATTGGAATCTACTTTGAATAATAAGAAAGTATAATTACTGTCTAAATTTAAAAGAAATATCGTGATGAAATCGATCATAAACAAAAATGACATGTTCATCAATAATTAATCATAGCTAAAGGTCGGAAGTTCATGAAGAATTGAAATAAAAATTCATATATATATATATATATATATATATATATATATATATATATATATATATATATATATATTCCAGGATCATTTTCTAACTTGTTCAAAATTATCTTTGCCTCTGTAATCTTCTAACTTTCTGTCCTGGGTAACAAGGAACCTCACAGGTTTCACGTACAATTTCATTTTCAAGACTTTTTTTCACTGCTCTTTGGACTGTCATAGCTGAAACTTCTCCCTCACATGCCAAACTTCTTATGAATTGAGTTGGATCTTTTCTAATCGATCTATTTATCTTTAAGCTGAAATGATCTTCCTTTCTGTTACGACCTCCTGATCCAGTTTACCTATCTACGGTTCCCTGTTTTTGAAACTTATTTACCGTTCTCTTGATTGCCCTTGAATGGACTTTGAAGATGGAAGTCCGAGTATGAATGTTGGCACCATTACTGAAGGTCTGAATGATCTTTTTTTTCTCTGACCATTGCTCATTTAGGAGGACAGTGAGGCTAACACAAAACGATTTTAAGTTGTTCTCTTTCTAGCTAAATACACCAAAGGGTTATTTTTAGTGATTCTTATGACAAATGCTGTCAACATGGCTAAACGTCTTATTTGAAGACCTGAAAAGAATAATATTACTTCAAACGTTAATTTTAGTTGATACCCGTATTTAAGTAGACACTCTGTTTATTTGAAACAGTATTTATTTCATCTAGCGGACTGTGTACTAGAGAAAAAGTTCCCTCAGGCAGGATTCGAGCCTTTGTCCGCCACTGTAGCAGAGCACATCGGTTTCTTTTGTGACATAGACTATATAGAAATTTTCCTGGATTTGGGTGGAAAACGTCATTTCGTACATGCTTACCATGTCCTGTGCGCAATGATAATACACGCACGCACACACACACACACACACATATATATATATGCACATAAAATATTTCTGATTTATTTCGCCATTAATGGCCTCTTTCATGCTTAGCGATTTTTCAAAATGGATGCTTGTTTATTTTTAACACGCTCGAGAGTGTCCTTTTTTCAAAAATGATGCTCCAAATTATTTCCTTCTTCTTTAATAAATTATTCAAGTTTCTAAATTCTATAATCTTCCATTTTTTCCTGCGTGGAGGGATTGCAAACCCACTTTCTCTAATTTATTGCATACCATTCTATTAGAACATAACAAATATTCGTGCCCGATTAGAAAATTACAAACAGAATTTGACATACTCACAGAAAACATTTATTAGTCAAGTACATCTCTATTTTTATAACAACTGTCTCCCATTGTTCTACAAGCTTCGTGATGCCATTTTCATAGAAACTTTGTGTTTTATTATTGGAAGAAGGTTGTGAGGTAGTCATTGATTGACTGTACAGAGTAAATTCTTTTGTCACTTAAATTGTTCTGTAGAGACCGGAACAAATGAAAATCCAAAGGAGAATTCATTAGTAGCTTGTGTGTTTCCCATCTCAATTCTTTAAGTTTCTGCAAGGACTGTTTTGTAACATGCAGTTTTGCATTGTCATGGTGGAAAATGACGCCTTTTCGAGTTGCATGTTTTTTTTAAATAGCTGCACTGAGATCGGTGAGTTGGATGTAATGCATATTTGAAATTATTGTTTCGCCGGGTGGAATTGTCCCTCTGCTTTAGCCTCGAGTACTGTACAATCTCGTTTCTCGCTTCGTTTGCCCCGAAAACCACCCGCGCTTTCCGTCGTCGCCTGTGACAAATACGATCTAAGCTTGTTCTATTTCGTCAGAGAATGCGGCACTTGTGTGTCGATTTTGGATGCGAACCCAACTCTCTTCAAATTATTAAAGGCAGATGGGATAACGATTCTCAAACTCTTAGTAATCTCTTCCGTCGAAATCTTTGGTTCATTCCCAGCGATGGCATGCAGAACGTCTTCTTCGATGTCGGAAGTTTGCCCGAAGAATGGTTGATCGTTTAGATTAAAATCAACCTGATGGAATCTGTCAAACCATTTTTTGACCGACCGAAGAGCTGGGACACAAACAAAAGAAGCTTCCTGAATTTTTTTTGTTGTTGCAGTTCCGAAGCTTACACCCTTTCGGAATTCATAGAGCATAATATGGCGAAAAAGCAACTTTTCGTTCGCCATCTTTAAGGCATTCATTTGTAGACAGAACATAAACGCAACTGAACAAGAAAGCATTTCTAGAACACAGTAGAAATCGGGAGCAAAACAAACACCAGTGGCAAATTTCGGTATTTTATATTGAGAATAACGTTCATGTATTTTTTGTTATATATTTTGACAATATAGTGACATTTTTTTTACATCTTTCGTAGTTGAATGGTAGGAAATTTTTACATATCTTTCTTTTAAATATTTATTCTTCTCAGAATGCTGTTTTAAAAATATTTAAGATATCCACGGTGTTCACAAAATCATCAGACAATTTCAAAAGGTAATTACAGATATGTCTGTGTGTGTGCTTGTGGTGAAATGATTAATATATATATATATATATATATATATATATATATAGGTTCGTTTTATAGATACAAATATTTAAGTAAATGCTCTGTTTATAATAAACAGTATTAACAACATTTACAGGCCTGAATGTCCGAGAAATTATATTTTTATCTATAAAATGAATATATAAACATTTGGATACGCATTGAGCAAATCATGGGGTATTGTAGTTTTAAAACAGTAAAATCGACCTTACTAACCCAAACTCTCCTCTGTGGCTTCCTTGGTAAAAGCACATCAGGCTATATGACGGTTCTGTATGAGATACAGGTTCGACTCTATGATAATTTCTCGGATATTCAGACCAGTAAATGTTGTTAATATTAGACTGCCATTTTTACAATTTTTATAATAAAATCTAGCACTTCAGCTGTTCCTTGTTTGTGACTATTTCATTCCTGTGCTAAACGTATTCTTCCTAAATTCTGGCAAGACCGATCCTTACACGAATGGCCACCACATGTAAAATATCTGATCGTTGGAGCCGTGTGTGTGTATTACGGTAACAAATATGTTGTTATATAATCTAAGTGGATCCCAGAAAGAAATCATAAGAAAATATTAAAACTAATCCACAAAAAGAGCTCAATGTATCTATTATTATACAGCAAATAATAATCAATAAAATCTAAAATCATCTCATATTAGGAATAGTTTATTTCGGCAGTTAAATTTCTATGTCTGACATGAACTCAGTCCACACCGGGGTTGATAGGACAGACGACATGATATCTTTGTCTGCCTAAATACGTGATTACCCATATGTGGTGATTTCGGATTTTATTGTTTATTATATATATATATATATATATATATGCAAAAATAAACACGCACACCTTATTCGTTTTATTTAAACAAACTTGTTTTGATGAATACTTACTTGGTAAATATACTTTCTATAAAAGTCAAATAATTGTTGCGGTTTAATGAAACTTTCAGGAGTCATTCTGTTTCTAACCAGTAAATCGGACTTTGCAAACCAGGCACATCTATATTTACGGTTTACCCATGAGAATGCACACTATGCCTGAAACAATATGTGCGAAAATCTGAATGGCCCTTTCACTCCAGAATTAATAATTATCGGAATTGTATCAAGTCAGCTCCCCATGAAAAATTTATTACGTGTAGAACAACATTTCCGCCTAGAAAAACATGATTTTAAAAGCCATCCAAAATTCACTATAATTGAAAAAAATAGCATTAGACAGAAAAAATCTTTTCTCCTGATGATGGCCATGCTGACCGAAACTGTTTGAGGAACCTAACTGAAATAATAAAGAAAAAAAAAAATATTAATATAGAACCCAGTGTGTCTGAAAATTTTAATTTTTTAACAATTTTTATTATTCAAAACACACACACACACACACACACACACACACACACACACACACATATATATATATATATATATATATATATATATATATCACAGACAGATCGAAATATAATAATATGTTATATATTGATTATATTCCGTCAATTCGTTTAGATCAGCTGTGCCGGCAAATATTTGTAATCCAGCTTTGAAAATCCGCTTCTTTCTCAGGGTTTGAACGCTGACATCCGTATAGGAACAGAATGACAACAAGCATTTCATCTTGTCTCTTTCCTCACTCACATGGGAATGTGAGACGTACTGGTTAAAAGCACGCAAACTGACATCGAATTGAAGTTTATAACCATATTACGTTAAAACAGCGGATTCGGTTCGGTACACTGTAGTTAAGCTACGTCGAGCCTCGTCAGTAGACTAGATGGGTGACCGCTTGAAAGTATCCGATGCTGTAACCTTAGAGGAGCGGGTGTACTCGCAATTGTTAATCGGAGAAGCGAGTTCCAATTCCGTTCGCAAATACCACTGCAAAAGGTATGAATCCATTTCTTTTGCTCCCAGCTATGGGTTAATTAGTGAGACGTGTAGCACTAAATCATTGTTATCACCAAAACAAAAAAAGAAAAATATCTTACAATCTAAAAAATATTTTCTG